TGCACATGAAAACACAGCTAAAACCTAACTCCATCATGGATAATCCGGAGTGTTGGTGACTGGGGAATTAGATACATTCCGTCACTCGGAGTACGAAATGCACTCGTTTCCCGTGCCCGGGCTAACTCCTATCCCGAACACGATGCAATATGCAGACATGCATGAAATGCAACTAAGATACAATCCTAACATACACAATGCTATGAAAATGAGATGCCTCGAAATTGCGTGCACACGAACACGCAAACCGAGAAAATGCATGAATGCGATCTAAGGTACAACCTAGTATGCACTATACTGTGAAAATGAGATGCCTCGAAATGCGTGCACACGAGCACGCAAACCGAGGCAATGGCATACGCAATGCAATATGGCTAAAATGGCATATAAAATGCAACATGGACTTATACTAAATGGAGAGCCTCAGCCACACTCACATAAGAGGCTGATGGATTGAAAATGAAGTGCCTCGAAATGCGTGCACACGGGCAACGCAAAACTGAGGCAAATGACATACGCAATGCAATAGCATAGAAATGCATATAAAATGCAACATTGACTTATACTAAAACATGAGAGAGTCTCAGCCACACTCACATAAGAGGCCGATGGATGAAAATGAAGTGCCTTCGAAATGCGTGCACACGGGCAACGCAAACCGAGCAATGACATACGCAATTGCAATGGCCATGGAAATGGCATATAAGCATGCTAATGGATTTTTCAGCAATGAAAAGTGGGAAAAACAGCCCCGAAACGAGCAAAGTAACACCCGATGCACGGATGGTCCCGAAACATGATTTTGGCACCCGAAATGGCCTATAGCTATACAAACATGCACAATGGGCACAATGCAATGAATAGACAGAAGCAAGGCAGCCCCTAAATAATGCACTTTTACAGTTTTATAGCATGGCCAAACAGCAAACCAAGCCAGGGCAAAAACTAGCATGCAAGAAATGGCCCTTAAACATGGGATTAAGAACAACTCACATCTTCTGTCCTCGAAACAGGTTAGGGCCTCAACAAAGTTGAAGAGGGGCCAAACATATGATGTTTTTCCCGAACTGTAAAAACCCCAAAAACAAACCACAAGTATGGCTGCACTCCTATGCAAGAAAAAGGGCCAAAAGGTGGCCAAAGAGGCAAGTGGTATAATGCAAAGCCCAAACTGAAAAATCCTTCTACAACATTGAAGAGGGGCAAAAATAGCAATTTACAGAACTATAAAAACTCCAAATAGTATACAAACATGCTAGAAATGCAATGCAAAAATAAGGCTCAAAAGAGGCTATAACATGAGGTATGCCAAATATATCCACAAACGGCCAAAGACCCTTAATGAAAACATGAATAATGGGCCAAATAAGACTTTTTTCAGAACTGTAAAATGGCCAAAAACCAAAGCACACCGATAGGCTGCAAAGCATGCAAAAATGAGACCAAAAAAGGAGTATAAGGCAAGTACAACATGAAGTCCCAAACAGTGTTGAGCCCTTCTAATGTTGAAGAGGGCTCAAAAATAAGGCCTATTATCAGTTTACAACATGCTCCAAAACAAATCAACACACAAGCTAAAAATATCATGCAGAAAATGACATTATGAGGATATGAAGCAGTGCAAGATGGAGGCTCAAACAGGTTGAGGCCCTAATGAGACATAAAAATGAGCTCAAAATAAGGCCACTTCAGTTATGGCCGAGCTCAAAGCAAAAAAGCATAGCATGGCTAAGAAATGTTGCAAAGAAAGCTCAAAAAAGGGGAAAATGCAACTCAACCCTTGGGAGACGAATTCATTTTGTTGCTGTCTTGGTACCAAGTTGCTACAGCACCTGATTAGCCTGTTTGAGAAGCCCTCCTTTGGTTAGCTGGAAATGAAATGGTCGATTGTGGGGCTCTGGGTATTTGAAGGAATGAAAGTGTGGAACTTGAATGTTTTAAAGGGTAGAAAATGAGAGAAGGAGAGGGGAAAGCAATGCAAGACTTGGAAGCAATTTCTTCTAACCTCTAATACAAGTGTTGGCCTTTGGTTATATGGAACGCAAAAGAGGGGCCAAAGGTGGGAAAAAGGGAGACAAGCTTTCCCCCCACAAAATTCCCCGGATTGGATATTCTGGGGGAAACAGCTATACAGCTGTAAAGTTTGATGTTGCAAAAGGAACCATGCCGGCCAGGTAATTTTTGTTGCAGGTGCCGTCCGGCACACCCCTAGCCCGCCGGGCTAGGGCAAAAGGGTACAAGCTGGTTTAGTGGCCGCCCCCCCCCCACCCCCAACCTCCCCACCCACATGATGGTGTCCTCTCTCCATGTGTTGGTACAATACAACCCCTGTGTTAAAAGTCCAAGAAAGTGGCTGCAAGGGTGTTCAACATTAGCTCGGAAAGAGGGGTTTCAAAGGGTCAGGTGGAATTCATGGCCGGCCACCAACTTTAGGGTCCTCCCGAAACAAGTGTGTACATCACAATAATATGTGGTTCAAAGTTCAAGATAGTGGGCCCAAGGTGTTCAACATTAGCCACGAAGGAAGGGGTTCAAAAAGGGTCAAGTAACATTAGTGGCTGGCCACCAACTTTTTAGGGTTCCCCCCATGTGTGTCTCCAACAAGTAATGTGGTTCAAAGTTCAAGAAAGTGGCCCAAGGTGTTCAACATTAGCCCGGAAAGTGCGAAAACGGGCATCGGACAGGGCGTCGGAGGATCTATAACTGGTAAAAAAAAAAAAAAAAAAAAAAAAATTACGAGTAGGCCAAAAGCTGAAAACATGTCGACATGGTGGCCGGATTGATAGTACCTTATCCAAATCTAATAATAAACATTTATTTATGTACTATACCTCAAAATTACTTTTTTGTATGATAGAATTTTCCCTATAAGAAAGGAGTTGGTCCTTGCCAAGACCTGTTCTAACGATATTTATGTTTAGTTAGCAAGAGAGATTGGGCAGGAGATCTTTGCTCAGTAAGGATACATGACCAATTTCTCTCAAGGGATTGGTCCATATATCCAGTCCCACAATTTTCTTTTACTTCCCAATTTTAACATTTGAAATTCCTTTTTCTTTCCTTAATAATAACAAGACTAAATTATATTTAACTTGTATTTTACCTTTCTGAACTTCAAAATGCAATAATTAACCAACTTGAACTATTATCTTATTACATTTAACACCTTATGTTAGAATTTTGTCCCAAAATTTAAACGAAAACAAATCAGTTATGAAACACATGACACACTTATTAAATTTTTAAAACAATAATTTCTTTTATTGATTTTTTTAAGGCAATAGTACTTTTATCTAGTGATCTCACTTGCAATTTATCTCATTTATCGTACTAGTGTAGTAATGTACAAACGGGATCAGTAGATAATAATATTTTTACCATAAAAATTTAATAAATGTGTTATGTGATTTACAGATGTTCTGATTTTGTTTAAATTTCTAACACAGTCTTAATAGAATGGTTAACTATAACAAGATAATATATTGAGATAGTTAATTGTTGACTTATGTAATTTACCATAATAACAAACTAATTCTACATATAGTGTAAATAAAGTGGGGTTAAAAATAATATAAACCCCATCTTTTTATTCTTAGATAAATTACATCAATTGTCCCTATATTTTGTCTGTTGTGTTATTTTACTTCCTATAATTTCAACTAGCTCGATTTTTATATTTAATTTTAAATTGTGTCAATTTAATTTAATTGATAACCCCAATTAAGCCCACTCTAGAGGATCTGAATTTCTAAAAAGAATGCCTCTGTAATTTGGAAAAAAAACAAAATGAATGAAGGAAGGTGTGTTCTAGTCTCCTATACGTCCTTTCCCGGTAATTTGACATTTATCAAATAAATTGAAATAAAAAAAACCCCTTGATCATGGTGATTTATTAGAGGAAAAAGAAAAAAAAAAAATCCCAAAATAACATGATCCACGGTGAATAAATATTTTTTTTATTGCTATGTCCCCATTTTTTTTGAAATCACCATATCAGCATGTGTGTCTGTGTTCATGCTTCTTGGGTTTCCACTGTTCCAATTTTTTCTTTTATAGATATCAATCCTTTGAAAATTAAGACCAGAAATACGGTATTAAACTTTGTACTCATGCCGAGACAGGAAGAAGCTGAGATATGGAATCTGCCTGTCACTTTCTCAGCAATCCTACACAGATAAACAACTTGGTCAAAGAACTTAACAGAATGACATTCTAAAGTAGGTAGGAAAGAAAGGTCAGTTCTACATAAAATACCTAATTTTCTGTAAATAGGGGTATTCAAAAGCGAAGTCTGAAATTTCATGGTTTCCTAGGTGCAAAAAATTAGCAGAACTGCCATCCATTTTAGGTGACCTATTCTTCCATGTTAAATCCCAATCTTCATCAAGAAAATTTCGATCTAGGAAGTTAGACCTAGCTGTTGAAAATAGAGTAAGATTTCTGTCATTTGGCTTTTTGATCATAACAAGTTAGAATTTGACAAACAGGATCAAAGTGGCATTTCATATGCATGGCAAATACCATTAAAGAATAGTACTATAAAGCAACCACCTAAGTATAACTGCAAGATTAAGACTAGACACTGTTAACAAATATCGAGTCTTGAAATTTTAATACTAAATTAGCAGTGCTGAAATATTTACTAGATTTCAAAGTTACAAACTTGAAGATAGATATTTTAGATAAGATTAAATGTAAAAACTGTATTCTACTGATGTATTCCGCATTCAACAAGAAGTCGAGTCTCACTAACTTGAAATTAAGACCATATTTAACTGAATTTTCAACTTTAGGGTGTAGGTGATTATGGGTTATCAAATGCACTCACCGATGAATATGTTCAATTTTATGCAATCAATTGTGTTTTTAAACATGCCCAAACTTGTGCCAACAGTTTATCATAAGAAGTTGATAATAAAATCATATATCTCAAGCTGAACCTTCAGAATGTCATTGTACATTAAAGCTGAAGACCTAAACAACATAGATTGAACACGAAATTGGTTCAACAGGCTACTTGGAAAATCAACCATATAATTTCAAGGAATGTTATACACCAGATTACAAATGTAGATGCATCTAATATATGTAGAAGCTAGAACTTATCTTAAAATACCAATTCAAACCAGTAATAAGAATTATCAACGAAAACATTTGAAAAAAAAAATTGTAAAAAAGAACCTACCATTCCATATATCATCATTTTTTTCTTCCATGTTACAGAAGATTTCATCATCAGAAAAAGAATTTTTCAATTTACTAGCATTGCTTTTGAATTGCGAGAACTCTTTGGCGGTCGATAACTTCTGCCTTGGTTTGCTAAATGCATGTTCTGTGCCCCTAGAACAGAATGGTAGCTCAAAAAAATTGCCACAGAGAGGCCAGTTAATATCTTGAGTCATGGCATCCTGCAAGTTGTATGCTATATTAGTTTGGTCCCAGATCATTATGAGATTACAAATAGAGAAACAAAAATGAATGTCAAAAACAGACTATAATCACACCCACATAGGCATCCTCACATCACATGTGGATACTAATGATCTTAAATTCAGCAAAACTGAACTGATCAAGGATTCAAGATTTACTCTCATTGCTTCCAGCAATATTACAATTCTATTAACTGTTACTGCCATTATATTGAAAAGGCAATCCATTGCCTCTAATTTGGCCTACAAAATGTTTTCTAATGTTCCTGGACAGTTTTTAGCATTTCTTTTTCATGTGTTCCAGTTTCTAATAAGGGGTTATTCAATAAACCTGAAAATTAATTGAAAATTTCCATGCCAAGGTAGTGACTCCGAAGATCTTAAATTGCAGAAATAAAAACTAAGGGTAATTTTTCAATTCAAATTTAATTATAGAAAAAAAAAAAAAATTTTACCAAACAAGTTTTTATTTGAGTTTTTAAAATTTTTGTAAATATAAACAGAAAACAGAAAACGTAAGTGTTACCAAACGGCACCAGCTTTTTAGTGATAAAATGCAGAGTCAAGTCTATCTAATAAAATTCAGACCCTTTCAAGTGATAACATATGTAAGCAAATGCATTGACTGTAGAACCATTAGTAATTATCAGTTTTACACACTAAACAGTGACCCTTATTAAGCTGCATAAAACATTTCCTTTACTTTGATACAAGTTGTCGCTGTATTCAGTACGTTCACAATTCTCATTTGGCCCCTTCATTAATCATTTTGTATATAGCCATCTCCCTCTTGTAAGTTGCACCACTTTTTTCAACTATCATGATTCTGCATCTCATTCGTGTATTAACGCCACACCCATAATCAACCTTGATGTCTGAACAAGTACTTTCTCAAAGTTCATCTTTACCTGCAATTTATCTCTAGATTGTGAACATGCTTTTCACTTAAAATAGTTTGTTGGAAATCGTATCTATATCAAACCCCATATTTATAACAACATGGAAGTTTCAGTCCACCTCGCCTACGGGAAGCGAAGAACTAAATGAAGCAACATTATATCTGATGCAATTCCATTATATGAAACAGCATCATAAATTATATCTCAACCACCAAACAAGAAAGAGATATAGAGAGAAATATGAAGCCAGCAACTTCTATAAAAGAGACTCAAATTTTAGTCAGTCTGACCACTGCGGCAGCTTGACTTGCAATTTTGAACAACTGTTGATAAGTTCCACAAACTAAGAATGTCCAGTGATCGATTATTATTTTGATGCTGACTGCATGTATTCATTCCATCAGAAAAGCTGTCCAGCCCACTTGTCTGCTGCTGTTGTTGCCGTTTTCTTTGCTCAAAATATTGCTTTTGCCTAGGACATTTAAAGTGTTTTTAATGTATTAATTTACCGCATCTAACATTTTGTCAAATTCTAACATATGGTCTCAGCAACAAAGAATACTAGAGCAGATGATCTTTCACTTCATTTCCAACAAAGAAAAATGACAAATGTTTATGTACCTCTTTTGTGTCGACTTTCTTGACTGAAAATTTTCTCCATCTCAGCACAATCAAGAAATGTCACGCAAAAAAGAAAAAAGGACGTGCTCATATGTCCAAAGAGAAGCTCAACATAATCATACTAGATGCAATCTACAATGTCTTGGCCATGCACATAGAGCTCAAGTTGCTGATGGAAAACTGAAACATGAACATGATTTTTTTCATAGTCATATGTAGAGTAGAAGTATAGAAGTTAAAAGTTATACATTCTTAGTAACATGGGAAAAAGAAAAGGAAGTGCAGTAGCATCACAGCATGTCATAACTTATGAGGTCAACAAGTTAAAGAAAAACTCATTTTCCCCCCCGGAGACTCTCCGAGATGGAAAGAGGAAGACCAACTTATTTAATTATTTAACTAAGAGTCCACGAAGAAGGAAAGCTACTATACTAAATATATTCCACTTAGTCAACTAAGGTGTGGTTTGAGATGTTCTAAATAAGTGTACTTTTTGATATTTTATAACAAAAAAAAATATTTAGAAAAGTAGAGAAAATGGATAGAAAAGTAAAGAGGAAATGTTGATAGATGTGACCCAAATAAGTGTATGTATGCAAAAAAAAGTGTACTTTTTTAGTGCATGCCAAACACCTACTAAATAAATGCAGCTCCCATCATTTCTTCCTATCAATTTAAAATTACGATTAATTATTAATAGTTATTCTGGGGATATCAAAAATGCCAAAGCAATGTGTTGTAAAGGTCGGTTGCACTAAGAGAACCAACAACTTTCCAGTTTAAGAATCTTTAGTATGCTACAATTACTAATTTCTTCAAAATAAAATTCTGAGTTAAAAAAATAATAATCAATTTATAGGCAAGTCAAAATTGAACATGAACTTTAGTACGATACAATTATTAAATTTTTCAAAATAAAATTCTGAGTCAAAAAAATAAAAATAAAAATAAAAATAAAAATAGAAATCAATTTGCAGGCAATTTCAAAATTAAGTCCATGTCAAACTCACAGTTGTCACTTTCCGCCTTGATCCACCCAGCCATTGCAACATTGTAACAACTTTTTTGCCACCACCTGATAAGTTAAAAAAACAAAAAGCAAAAGCACAACCAACCTAGCCGTGATCAATCCAATGTATGAAAGCTTAAAACTAATATCCAGCATTACAGCTAAGTGAACCAATATTGAATTGAAATCAAATTTCACATTAAAGTGTTTGGAGAGAAGGAAAATAGAATTGCGTTCAAGTTGACCGAACATGATTGAGCAACTGATTGAAATCACAATCTTAGGGTTTTAAACAGAATAATAATAGAAAACATAAAATTCTTCCAATGCAGTGAGTTGAAGACAACGAAATTAAAACTGAAACTGAAAATTGTTGTAACTTGGAAAACGATTGGAGAAACTGTTTTACCAATGGAAGTGAATGCTGAGTTTATCTCTGTTTCTACTCCACAAGCTTCAATGAAGAGAGAGAGAGAGAGAGAGAGAGAGGAGTGTGGAACGTGAGAAAGAAAGAGCTACGACTGGTGCCGATAAAATCAAATCGGAAAGCAATGCTCCGCGATGAGAAATTATTCAATATTCATGGCTTGCGGTGGATCTCATCATGATTTAGATTAAATCACACAACCCCACCTGAGGTAATGATCTAAGGGGGATGGGAAAATGGTTTTAGTGACAGCAACAATGATTCATCCCACTAAAAACATCACCACTAATAGCACTAATACATTAAAAAATAAAAAAAAATTACAACTCTAAAACCAAAACATCACATCATTCATGGCGAGACCCACTGCCACCTAATTAGTGGGAGCACTAATTAGTGCTCCCAAGCATTTTTCTTAGTGACAGCACTAATATGAGATTTTGTCAAACACAATACGCTTACTAATATGAGCTTTTATTATTAGATGACGATAATATATGTTAACATTGAAGAAAAACTTATCATGTATATAATTTAAAAATTAATACAATCTAACATATATCATATATGTATAGTTTGATTTAGGGTTGGTTTGAGATGTTCTAAAAAAGTGCACTTTTTGACTTATTAGCTTATATGGGTTGGGTTTGGGTTGGGTTTGATGTGATGTGTTAGAGAGGTGATGTGATTTAAATAAGATGATGTGACTTAAATAGGATAGTGACTTTTTGACTTTTTGTATTATTTAGGTCATGCCAAACTTGGCCTTATTGTAGGAAAAATTAGTGAAACATCTCTCTTCAACTTTTGATAGTAAGAGAGGTCTAATATGTTTTTTCTTATTAGTTAAGGCTGCTTAATAATATTATTAGAGAAATTTTTGCATGTCAAAAAAGTTTCACTGTAAAGAGCTGGAAAGAAAAAAATTTCTGTGAAAATGTTAAGAGACCCCAACGATTATGAAAATATCATATTTCATTTATTTTATATAATCTTAATATTAGGGATCTTAAACTAAAAATTTCATTATTATACTTATATAGTAGTTTATTAGGGGCATTTCCGTAAATAAGCTAAAATAATAAAGGAATTCCCAAACTAAACCTAGTTTTGAAAGAATTCCCAAAATGAGCTAACTCGCGGTTCACAATCGCGAGTTCAACACTTTTCCATCCTTGTCGCCTGAAACCTGGTAAATTTGAAACTCGCTGTTACGAAAAGCGATTTTGATTAAGAACTCGCGGTTATGAAACGCGAGTTTAATTAAAATTTTCTTTCCTTTGAACTCGCTTTTTACAAGAACGATTTCATCAAAAAAAATTTGTGCTGAACTCGCTTTTTGAAACCACGAGTTCATCAAAAAATAGATTTCTTCTGAACCCGCTGTTCATAACCACGAGTTTATCAAAAATTATGAACTCGCTATTTGTAACCACGATTTTAGGGCAAATTTTTTTCTTTAAGTGAAATCGTGGTTGTGAACCATGATTTTAGAACTTATATTTAACCCCCCACCCCCGTGATTTGCATTCACGCTTTCTCCTCTCTCCTTCTGCTGTCTCTCTCTGTTCTCTCTCACTCTGTTCTCTCCTCTTGAGCTCTGTTCTCTCTCTCTCGAGCTACCTGCTCTCTCTCTCTCTGGAGCTCCCTGCTCTCTCTCTCTCTCGAGTTCCCTCTGATTCAGTACTGTCTCTCTCTCGTTGGTATGGCTTCTATCATCTATTTTACTGTGAATAAATTAGGATTACAGTTTATATTTGTGAATATATTTGTGTTTGTGAAAATGTGAATAAA